GGCCGAAAGACACGCAGCGGCGCCATAGCCATCGATGGCGGGGCTTGAGGCGCTACTACTGGCTCGACAATCGGCATAAACGCGAGCACGACTTGAAGGAGAGCGAGGCGGAGCTGCGGGCGTGCTTGGCGGCCGAGGTGGAGGAGCAGCGGCGGATTTCGCCCGACGGGTCGCGGTGGCACTACGAGAGAAGGCGAGCGAGTCGCGCCGCAGTGCTTGCGGATGGGAGAAGCGGCGCGGGAGGAGTGAGCGAGCGCGCCGCCGGCCAGCGAGAATAAGCGGCGCTGGGCGCGTAGCGGGCGCAGCGATGCTGCAGGCTTGCCGCCGGCGGCGTAGATAGTCCACCATGCCAGTGGCAAGCTCTCTGCCATGATCAAGGCTGGTGGCCATTGCGTGGCACATGTGTGTCCACAACAAAGTGCCGGAGGAGCCAGCAAGGCAAGGTCACTGGGCCGAGGCGGCGGGCGCCATGAAGGCAAGGGATATCTTGGCTGGGCAAGCTTGGCCAGTGGGCTGTAAGTGAGGCGGCGGCCCGCGAAGGAGAAAAAGTCCTTTTTCATTTATATTTTCAAGAAATTTTTAAATGCCAGCTTTCAAATATTATTTTGAGCAAGAAAATGACATCTTTTGAAAATGTACCAAAAATAAAAGTTGATTAGAATTTAATTCTCTACAACTTTGCTTTTATGACCACAACCAAATTCTTTCTAGATTTTGAATTGTAAGGTCAAAGTCCACGTTTAACTCAAAACCCTAATTTTTGGGAATTTATTTTTGAAGCCAAATTTTGAATTAATTTGAATACAAACTTTGCTCCAAAAATTAAACTAAACATTGCTAGATGATTTACAATAGTAGCCAAACATGTTTCACTAACCTAGCAAGCAAAATCAGGGCAAAACAATTCAAACAAAGGTATGCAACATTCAGGTTTCACAACATGTTTCATATGTTTCGAAGCAGTGTTTCAATTGTTATTTACATGATTAGGCATGTATGATTAGGATGCTTGATGATGCATGATATGTATGATTTGCAGTGACTAAATGCAGGCATAACACCGGGGTGTTACAGTTGGCTCCCTATTTAAAGGTCTTGGCTGGCTCTTGGCTCACTCTCTTGGTACTTTGACATTCCTAACATCCTTGTGAGCCTAAGCAAATATTTTTCACTCATCTCCATCATTAATTCATCATCATAGTGAGATTGGGAGTGATTCCAAGTGTATTTGCTTGAGTGATTACATCTAGTGACACTTGGGGATCGTTGTGGCTGCGGAGTTCTTGTTACTCTTGGTGGTTGTCGCCACCTAGATGGTTTGGAGCAGCGGAGGAGCTTCAGCACGAGTTGTTGATTGTTCGTGGCCGGCTCCGGTGATTGTGAGGGGGTCTTGAGCCTTCCCCAGCGGAGAGCTGAAAGGTAACTCTAGTGGATTGCTCGTGTCATTGAGTTACCTCACTTGTGGGTAGGTTCTTGCAGTATCCAATTGTGTGGACGGGGTTTGTGCAACACCTCTTTGCCGCCGAACCACCAAGTGTTGGTCGACACAAGGGACTAGCGTGCCGGCAAGCACGTGAACTTCAGGAGAAAAATTGGTTGTCTCTTGCCCTTTGATATTCTTTCGGTGATTGAATTGGTATTCATCTTGTGATTGGTTCACTCCTCTACGTAGCGGTATAATCACCCTACTTACTCATTTACATTCCCGCAAACTAGTTGTAGCAAGCTCTTTAGTGTAGCTAGAATTGAGAGCTTGCTTTGTAGCTTAAGTTCATCTAGTGGGGCTCTTTAGTGTAGCAAGTTTGAGAGCTCTTAGTGAGTAGCAACTTAACTCTTGTGTGTGCCTAGTGATTATAGCAACTAGAATTGTTTGGATAGGTGGCTTGCAACCCTAGCAGAGCTAGAGCAAAATTACATTACACCGTTTGTCATACTAATCAAATTGCTCTAGTGTTCTTGTAGATTTTTAAATAGGCTATTCACCCCCCCTCTAGCCATATTAGGACCTTTTAGCTGTTCCTCACCAGGAGGTCGTGGCCGCTGTCAACGCCGGCGCCGCCGTGACGCTCGACCTCAGCTCATGACATCACGAGATCCGGAGTGGCCAGACCCGGAATGGGCTTCTCCGGCTACACCTCGAGCTCCCTTCCTTGGACTTTGCAAGTGTATGTTTCAAGTGTTTCAGGTGGATGTTGCAAAAGAAGATTGAGATGGTGCATATGTTGCAATAGCTGCACACGTATGTTGCAAGCGTCCGTTCCAAATGTTTTAGCTGTTTTAGATAAATGGTGCACTTGTTTTATCTGTGTGTTGCATATGTTTCACACTTTATGTTGCAAGTGTTTCATATTGCATATGTTTTCACGCATATGTTGCAAGTATTTCATCAAGATGTTGCATATGTTTTGCAATGGCTACACACATGTTTTCCTCGTGTTTCAGACGTATATTGCAAGTGTTTCAACTATTTTGGATATATGTTCGAAATGTTTCCTCTAGATGTTGCAAAAGTAGATCTGGTGTTACACATGTTGCAGTGGACCCTATCTGTTGTAGCTGCTTGCTGCAGCTGCTGGGCCCGCCTGCATGCACGTGGGTGTGGAGGGGCGCGAGCGACAGGTGCGGGAAACCATGCGTGTGCAGATCGAGACAGAGCGGGCGTGGGACACGGAGCCGCTGGGACCCCACATGAAGCAGGCGTGCGGCGTGGGCGTCCGGACGCTAGCCCCCATCTAGACGTTCGAGCGCTAGCCTTTTCGTATTTGTAGATCAGATAATTTTAACCAAGTGGAGTTGAGGGAAAATAAACATTTTTATTTGATTGTAGTGGTTTTGAAAGCTGTTTTGAAAGTAGATTTTACTAGAGTAAGTTGAACTTGGTATTTGCCATGCTAGTCCTGCTCCATGATGAATGTTTAATTTTTGTTAAGTTTTTTTTAGATAATAGTATAATACTATGCAAACACCAAGTTCAAGCCTTTGCTTCTACGGATGAACGCAACCTATCTTTAACTATCAGACGGTCTTTAGATCTTTGTTTCGTTCTTCATTTCTTTGAATCATGTAACCCAGGTTTCTACTCTGTAAAAATTTATTCGTTGATGTGCAGGACAGAAGGGAGTGGCGACGGCATGACGGATCCCAGAAATTGGTGGCATTGATATGTTCGTTTGGGGTGACAACGGGCCCAACTAAACACTGCCTTCTGGAATTCTTCACGTTGATCTTCCCGTTGTAGGCTGTAGAATTCTCCAGGATTGCAAGTTTGCAACTAGTAGGCAATAGTTGATTCTGGCCTCAGTGCACGCACGCGTATAACAGCCAATTGGCAGACAAGCTCAAAAAGAAAAGCCAATTGGCAGACAGCAGCCAACATAGACAAATACAAACAGCCCTGTTTCTCCTCTGTTGCTTCGGCCTCCATAATTCCGTATCACTGTGCACGACACTTGGCAGCCCAGGCTGGCACCCTACGCAAATAGCTTTGTTTTTTTTAACTGTCAGGGGGAGATAATCCTCACCTGAATATATATTAATATAAAATCAACAGCCTCATTTTTTTTAGAAAAAACGAGACAAAACCTTTTCGTCCGGTTAATTTTAGAAAACCGGACTAAAACCATACAACAACCCCAGCGCAAGGGCAAGCTCGTGGCATATCCACTAATAAGAAAAAAAAACAATAACAAATAGCTTTGTTACTTTGTGGAAGACTACCCAAACACCCTGGGATCTCAATCCAACAGTGCGAAAAAATCATAAAAAAAGTGCAAAAATTATAGACCCAAGCAGTTCGAGCAAACACTTTGACCTCCAGATTATCTCATTCCTTCAACAAAACACCGAAATTGCATGATCCCACTCCATTCCATACAAGATAGTTCCATCACATTCCACATTTCCATCTAGTTCGTACACCCACCCTAGCAGCTCTGTCCTTGGGTAGCCTATTACCACGGCGTACAAGTTTCTCCACCATGAAAAATTATTGAAATAAGGCCAAAACCGGATTTGGATATTTCTTGAGTTATTCTCTCAGGTGTCTATGAACTTTTCTAGAATTTCAAACATCATAAAATATATTTGAAAGTGTACTAGCTACATCAACTGGCACAGGCAGAAAATAAATGCAAATTTTTCACTTGGATACTAGTACAAGAGAAAATTCTCACAGCGGATAACTTGCAAAAAAGAGGGTGGCCGCATCAGGATCATTGCGCGTTATGCAATGGGCCGTTGGAGACCTGCCTTCATCTATCTCTACTTTGCCAGTTCGTCAAAGCGGTTTAGAATCAAATCCTAACCTGGGAACACTTTGATGTTCAGTTTACATAGCTCACTAGAGACCCCGTCCATTTTAGCACCTGGTGGGAGAAGACCGCTACTAAGGTCACAAAGGATGAAAGAATGCGCTTTAACGGTTTGGTGATCTACACATGCTGGAATCTTTGAAAGAAAAGAAACCGAAGAATTTTCAATAACGCTCAAGAATAGTCGTTGCAGGTGGCTTCAAGAATTAAAGAAGGCATTGAGCAAAGGAAGAGGGTATTTCAAGGAGCATTCCAAGGAGGGGGCTAGTAAGCCAGCCATTCTGGTTGTATACGTGCTTGGGGGCATTTTTGACCGCTGTTTGTTTGCGCAGCTTCTTGGGTTCTGACTGTACATAAACCTTCTATATTTCTCCCTTAGTTGAGAGGCAGCGCTCTTGCCGTTTGTTTAAAAAAAAACATATCTACCAATTGCCACAGTGCTACAAGTATCCGCCAGTGAAACCAGTTGAACATTTCCTCTATCCTGACTGATAACTCTAGATCAAGAATACAAAATGAGCATAAACTGCACAATCAAATGTTTAGATGACGTCAGAGGTCAAAGGTTGTGCATGTTTCCACTAAGAGTAAGGATTGTACACCTTCCTAGTCCCATTCAGTGTCCTTCAGAACTGAAGTTTTTGCAGGGAAACACGGTCCATGATGTTCAGCTGTGCAATTTTACTAGGATCACGCTGTCAATTGGCGGTATTCATCATTGGCACCATCTCCCACTTGATACCTTGATCTCACATTCTGCAATATTTAATTGTTATTTAGTTGCTGGCCTTGAGGAGCTTTTGACACAATTTGATCTGAGAAAAGTAGAAATAATTGTGAAGAAACCTCAAGAAGGGTGACATAGTAGAAGTCTTCCATGTGCTGCATAAGAGCCGAACCATCCCTGATTGAGCGGAGTAGATTTATTTCTGTTTGCAGTAGTTTTTCCACAAGTTGCTTCTCGCCTTTCATCTGCAGGAAGTTATAAGTCCAATTAGTTAGAATAACATCCTAGTAAGTAGTAACGAACAGAGGCATACTCACAAATTCAGTAACAAGAACATCAGGTGTGTACTCCCCTATCACGTCACCTTGGTCTTCATCATCTAGAATGTTATTATTTACCTGTATCACATACAAATGCAATTTTATGTTTTTTGGTGACAGCTGGGGGATCTGGTACACTAAAACATGGACACCTGGTTAACAACATTATTAGAGCACATTTGGATCGAGAAATGATTAAAAAAAACTACTTTACCGGTGCATCTTTTGCATCTCCAAATTTAAGATAAACTGGTGCTTCCACATGGCAATAGCCCATAAGACGTGGTACTGTTGGAATGATATCTTTGTGGTTGACAATTCTCCAGCTGTCCTTTACTTTCTGGAAATAGTCCAAAAAAGATATAAAAATTGTGGTTGCTTTATATTTTTTAGTTCATAGATCCTTGCAGTAAAATTACGATAGAAGGTATGGGGATTACAACTTAACTCATAATGATATCATTATTATTACACTGATTCTAATAGATAGGCTTCACCTATGGAAAAACCAGTAACATACACAAAAAGTTATTCCTGTTGTATGACTACATGTGACTCTTGAATTTGATCTGAGAATTGGCCTTCCGCAAGTTCATCCCTGCTCTCTCTACAATATTCATCTTTTGAATGCATTGTACCAAAAAAAAAAAACTATTTCATTAATGTCTTCCATGGAGAATTGTAACTTGCCTATATCAAGTCACCATATAGTAGGGATCTCCTCTCTGATAAGATGCTATTTATGTGAGCATGGGTGTACACATAGCTTAGCTAGGAGTGTAACACCACTATACTGCAGAAGAATGACAAAATGTCTGCTATCTGGTTTTCCAAATGCAAACGAAAGGTTGGATTATTCATGCTTCCATTCTTTCCTTTTATTTATATATATTTTTTTATTTGAAAGAAAGTGGCAAGACCGCTGCCTTTAAATTAAGATACAAAAGAGAGTGCGTGCAAAATACAAGCCCCAGCCATGCGGCCCTGCTATACAAAGGGTTGGCAGCATTTTGTATGTCTTTTGCAACAATACTTCTATGCAGCTGCCCAGACACTTATTTGAAATAAAACCGAAAAGGTACTAGATATACATATTTCATATGAACTTCCCCAACATTCCTTAGCCAACATATCAAGGACAGAAAGCAGATTGAACAAAAAGATTAAGTAGTTCAATATTCACATTCATTTCCACACTCCAAACTAAAATGACTGATATTTATTAAATGACCCTTCTGCCATGCCAGAAATTATTGTGAAGAACATAATGGTTTTTTTTTCTGGAATACGCAGGAGGGCTGCGTATCATTGCATTAAGATAGGGAAAAGGGAGGCTCAAATAGCCAATACAAAACTCACACAACACCACACACACCTTGGGATTTTTTACTGTTACACGTGCCTGTTCAAAACAAAGAGACGACCAAAACATAATGGTTTCATCAGGTATAAAATAACATAATAATTCTCAGTTGTATTTTATCAAGTGCCCCAGTTCTAAATCAATCCATCCAAGTAGAAAATTAGCGTCTACAGAGTTAGTAAATAGTCTTCAAATTACCGAATTGTATACTTCAGCGAATCTTCTATTTCCCACTCTAGGAGAGCCAAAATTGTACATTGTCACAAATATGACACCATTCCTATAAAAGATGACATGACAAATATGAAAATAAAAAATATAGAAAATCATGTACGAACATAGTTGAAAACCATTATAGAAATCATCAACAGCTGCCAACTGCAGAAGTGTTAAAGATACATAAACTATTGGTGAGCTATTTTGACAGTTCTATAACAGCATAACAGAATGATATACAAATAGGAAGCTCAACATTAATATCTTCTTTAAAATTTATGAAGCTCCAGTGCACCAATACTTTTATTAGAATAACAGGCATCCTGACAAGTTCTTCTTCATTACTAAGGCAAACACTCTGTAGTGTAGGGGCAGAGCAGTTAATAAGTTGTCTCTTGTGTTCTTTCCAGGCAGGTTTGGGCGGTCATCTTCTGGAGGCTGGGTCTAATTGCTCGAGCACCTCGACCTTCTGTCTCTCGGTTCTCTAGTTGGTGGTGCAATGTCATCAAGGGCCTACCTAAAGATTTGACAAAAGGACTCAACACGTTGATCATTCTGGTAGCCTGGGAACTTTGGATACATAGGAACTCTTATTTGAAGGAGCTAGCCCCTGTTTTCAGGCAGTGCTGCACAAAGTGGGAGAGGAGTGTGTCCTTTGGTGCTCTGCCGGAGCCTCGGCTCTCAGCAAACTCCTATCTAGGTTGTTCACCCCAGGCCTTCTGTCCTGAGGAGATGCTTTGGTCAAGGTCGTTTCTTGTTTCAGTCTTGTAATAGGTGCTAATGTAATGTAAGGGGTTGTGTTTTGGAGAGGCCTCTTGATCTCTACTTGTACTATATTTCTTCTTAATGAAATGACACGCAGCTCTCTTGCATTGTTCGAAAAAAGAGCAATTTTTTTTTTGTGAGACCCAGTTACAGACGCAGACGCTCACATATATGAGCGCACACTCACCCCCTATGAGCAATTAATAAGGAGTCATCCAAGTTAATCTGATCTTGTTTGGGACTTTGGGTTTCCTACGTGTTAAATGTTTGACTTTTACATGTTTCCACAAACCCTGAATCAAATGATGTCATATGGTATCTGAAATGAGAAGATCACAGATTTAGATCAAGTGAAGGTTCAAACTTACTTGGACATTTGACTTGATGAAAGTTCAAGAGCAAGAAGGGTTGCTAGTGCTCCACCTAAACTGTGTCCAGTCACATAAACATGCCAACTAGGTATGGTTTCTGCATCTTCTTCATCCCTGCAGTGGAATAATTAGATGCTTTGTGAATAAAGTTTGAGAAAGTTACTTGGTGAAGCTATATATACAATAAACACAAAAATCAAAATTTAAATCCAAATATTGTTCTTTTCAGCAATAGTTTTCTGAGATATATAGTCAAAATTCCATGTGGACAGCAATGAGAACATGCTATGGAACGTTGAAAGTTTCCTGCTTCATATTGAACTTATTTGTGGAAAGAAAGTCACCTATTTCACTGCAAAATACTTACTGGAATCCAACGGCATATTTGATGAGAGTCATGATCCTGTTCCTAACAGAGTCATATGCACCTAAGAATCCACTGTGAACCTAAAACATGGTGTGACAACATGTCAGGTAGCAGAATATGAGAACAGACACATAAAAGAGTGTAGACAACTAACTTGAACTTCTTGTTTGAAGTCACCACCCAGCCTCTCAGGGTTTAGTCTGTAATCAGGTTCAAGACATGGTGTGCCAAAGGAACATGAAATAACAAAAAAGAAAATTACGACTACAATAGCTACAATTTCTTTCTTCAATCTTACCCAGCAGGTACAAGCATTAAGTCAGTTCGCAAATCCTTCCACCTTGACTAGGTTGACATGTAGAAACCAATGCAAAGCGAAGTGAATAAGGTCGAATATGTGCCAAATTATAAAGTGAATTTGCCATTAATAGAATGTAAGATTTTCATGTTAATGCATACTTGTTCAGTTCCTCGAAAGGCAACAACCAACCTTCTTCGAGAAGAATCACGCCATATGGCAACCTACATGTTAATATAATCTATCAAAACAAAGGAGACAGGAAACTCATTGATATCGGCATATCGCAACAAAACTCACTTGTGTGTCTGTTGAAACATTGTCAAGAAAACATATCTTTTCAAAGTCCGATTTGATGAAACTGTTACGTCCCCAGTGAAGAAGTGGCAAGCATAGCCCATGCCTCCATGGCAGTCTCTGCACTTGCAAACAGGCTCCATATCCTCTGCTTTCTGTGCATCAATGGACAGTATGGTAGATGCGACAGCATCATCCTTTTGAACAGAATCTGCAGCTGAAGCACCTTGCTGCTCTCTAATCATATCATCTTTGCCATTTGTTTCAGTTGTCGTTACTGACTGATCATGTGGTGAGAAGTTTTTAGAAAGTATCATCAGAGCTCCGAGTATATTTTCTGTTTGAGACAATACATCCCGAGATACTTTATTTATGTCTGGAAAGGAAGATTGCACCTCCTCTTTGGTTGTCAATGTTCCATTTTCATTCTCAACACCAACTGTGTTTTCAGGAGTTGTTTGACTGCCATCACTTGTTGAAGTATCTGCCATTGCAAGTCCAGATTCTAAATATTCCCGTTCAGCAATTTCGCGTGATTTCAGACCAAGTGAACTTAATAGGTCAAATCCATCCAATTGCTTGACCTCGGGAAGAGAAAATCCAAAGTTCTGTAGTACATTTTGGTTGAGTACATTGTTCAGAGCTCTCCAAAAGTATTCATCCGATTCCTTCATATCGGATGATGCATCTCCTTCACTGTTAACAGTTGCAGCAGGAGATCGAGCTTCACTATGAGAATGAGAATCTGAAATGTCTTCAGAATCAATATTCTGCTGTTGAAGCTCATTTGAATTAGTTGGGCCATCTGAGGATTCTTCATCATTTTTAGAAACCTCAGCTCCACTTTCCAATGATGATGGCTTTGGAAGGTAGGTGTAAGTGAAAGAATTTAGTTGCCCAAATGCAGACTTCACAAACTGACTTGCATTTATACTTTCAGATCCAAGAACCATTCTAAGAGCAGATCCCAGGCTGCTCTTCACAAGAAAGTCAGACACAAAAGGTATTCTCCACCATTGTTTTTCACGCTCGATATCATCATAACTCTTGTATTTGACCTGGCATGTTATACTTAAAACTTAGTTCACTAATTAGAATGGAACAATTACAAGCCTTGGACATAGTGGAACAACTAAAATATCACTATCGGAGAATCATGCAGCTAGAGTATTCATATACCTCTATACTTGTTTGTGCAACAAGAAAAAATGCAGTGCACAGTAAATACAGCCTATGCTTTACCAATGTGGCTTTAATACTAGATATTCTTATATGTGAGTCAAATTACCACTGTACTCATGGCTAGTTAAAAGGCCGGTCTGCTAGTTCATGTCCAAAAGGGTTCCTAATATGAAAATTATTCTACTGCTATTGCTTCTATAAGAATCTATGGAAGTAAGGATTTTGCTGATTTCACTCACCTGAAAGGCAAGGATCTGTTAGAGGATGCACCTTCGCATTCGATGATCAGGAAAATAAAATGTTAAGGATCGTACCTCTATCTCAATAGTTCCACCACCACCAAGGCCTTCTAATTCAACAGTAACACCATGATTGTTACCTACAAAGAGCAATGGCGCTATAAGCTTTTGCCAAGAACAAGATACAAATGCATCCATGTCAGATTCAAGGGGAAGATATTGCTTCATTGCTCTGTAATCAACTTTTCACGTGAATATTAAATGAAAAATGAAGCATGACACAAGAAAAAGACCAATGAACATATGTTTTCCGAAAGGGCAGCAAAAGTTTTGCCGCAAGTTTTATTAGGAGGAGAAAAAATAAAAACAATTGCAGGCCCAGTTTTTTTTAGTGGAAACCAGGCCCAAAACCCACACGACTAAGTACAAAACCATCATACATATTGCATTTTCAGTTTGGCCAAAATGCCATAACTGATCGCAGATTTACCAGTTTAAAAAATAGCCTCAGTTGTTTTTTCATATATATTGATCTTTTCATACAACTATCACTAAGTAGTGATGAACTGATAAAAATGGTTTAGCTTATTACTGGTTGAAGATATCAATAGATAGTATTAGCTGTTAGCGTAATACATGTGAAGGTTACTTGAAGCAAAACTTGGTAGAGCATCTTCCGATACAACGTTGAGTGGGATGAATAAACTTGGAGAGCAATTTCAACAGCATAGTGCTTTATATCAGTGAGATTACATGCAGCTACAGTGGGGGTCTCCCCTGCTGTATTTTCGGGTCAAAAAGAGATTACATGCAGCTTAGAAACATGTGATTATGGAGTTTCAGTGTTTTACTATAAGTAAGAAAACAACAGTGGCTGTCAGATAGTATAAAAAAAAAGCCCAATGCAAGTGGTGAGTGTGAGTTGCATCATTGAGATTCTCAAACTGGTGGAATTGGCAAGTTAGTCTAAATTGGGACTGAATCAAGCTTATCACAGGCCAATATTAAAAAAAAAACTCAGATGGTGAGGAAAGACTGTCCCATGGTACTGCACTAAGAAGAAGCTCTTAGTCAAACTGATCGAGAAAACGACTGAACCATGGCTTCACCTTATAAGGTCGCACAGTAAGCTGGGCCGACCATAACCTTCTGGGCTGGTGATCACTGCAACTACCCCTTGATAGGATGGACCAAACCAATTATAGAAACTACAGGCCAGTGCCCTACCATTATTTTTTTGGGTTGCCAACAAGGGATTTTTATTTTTTTTGGCACCAGGATTTGAACCCTGGCCGGTGTCTCCCTCAACTGGGGAGCTTACCACTACACTATAAGAATGTTCACCACAAACTTCTCGATAAGAACATTATATCCTGTTTCAACATGATTTTGACCATGACTCTGTACAGATCAGCACTGAGAATAAGGAAACCAGCACCCATGACACCGATCAGGAACAGGTTCTGAAAACCTGGTTATAACAAAAGGAACACCATGAGAGATTATTGTGATTTCTTTATTAATATAGAGAATTACCATCACAAAGTGATTCAAGGTATAATCCAGCATTTCCCATGCGTTTGTGTGGGGTAACAAGGTTTGCATCCCAAGCTGCAACCTATTGAGCAACATGGCAGCAGATGCCAAAAGGCACAGAAATCATTCATAGTAGAACCAAGATATAACAAAGTAGACGATTAAAACCAAAATTAAAAGATGCACACAATCTTATGTTTGATTACTATCACTTACTATTTCTTATCTATTACCCTCAAAAACTATTTATTATCTATTTCTTTCAATTATATACATATAAATATAAATATAAATAATCTTGACCATGTACTCTGCCATCCTGAAAGCTACAGACATGCACTTATGTTTGTTAAAATGGTAAATACTGCCGGTTCAGTTTAAGCTTCACTGGAGTTGATCCACCCAACTTCCAAAACAATTTTATAACACCTGGAGCGAGTCCAATATCACTACATGCCCTAGGTACTTATAGCATGCAGCAGTTTCTTTGCCAAGACAGAGGAAGATTAATGGGCCTTCCCTTAAATGAAAAAAAGAAAGTGTTTAACAAGACAGACAATGTAGAATAACCAGAACTTTCCTTAAACAAAAAAAAGGGGCTAGAATAGGGGACCATGAAATTATAACATTCATACCTGAAGAAGATTTTCTCGAGATTTTTTTTAATGTTAAATGTGAAATCCTCATTCCATGTTGGCTCCTTTGTCCTACAGTGAACAATTAATGAAATCACACTTCGAATCAACAATGCAAAGGACTAGAAATATTCAAGCTTTCTCAAGAAAATTGTCCACTAGTTGACACAGTATCCCGAATGAAATAAAGCGCTATGTATATACTGCATACATCATTTTAATTTCATATAGAAAGGAACTTCTTATTTATAATAGCACTCCCAGCCCCAGCATACACAAAAAGGAATAAGTAACTCACGCCCATTTAATTTGGCTTTTTGCAGTTTGGCCATTCAGTTGTAAAATTACATAAGGATCACTTGTACCCTGAAAACAAAAGAATTAGCTAAGGGAATTGTTAAAGAGTAGAAAAGCAGGACTTTGATTAATAACTGCAAACATAAAAACGTTGTACTGACCCACTAGAGAATGAGGCTTAATACAAATAATGACTATTCAGCAGCATACACAATTACGCATCATCGTACCCATGGATCCATTGCAGGAAGGTTTATGCCTTTCTTCAGCCTGACGACTAGCTGTCCATCGTATACTTCACGGAGAAAAACACTGCAATAGTTGTGGCATCGATGCATCATTCACAACATTTACAGTAACGGCTTAGCAATTAGCACCATAGCAACAACAAATGGTCCAAGCTCTGTAAGGAAGGGTAGGCCTAGGACTTACTCGGACAGGAACACTGTCTGACAGTCAGCCGCATCAGTTTCGCGCCAGCCCACATCTGCCTGTCAAATACGACGACCAATCGTGCCACGTAAGCTAATCCACTAATCCATGGAGGTTGCCTCCACAACCAGCTTGGACTAAACCAGTTCAATGATGGGGACGAGTAGCTCATGACGGGAGCAAGGTGCTCACCGGCGGACTGGTGTAGGCTTCAAACGCGAACCCGGCGAGCACGACGGCGAGGTTGATGTCGAACGGCGGCCGCCGCGGCCCGTCCTCCTCCGCCACCAATCCCTCCCCAGAGCTCTCGGAATCTGGCTGCACGGCTGACGGCTGGCTGCCGTCGCAGCTTATGCGGCACCTTGCCCGCAGCCCCGCCCACCGCCTCCGTCTCCCCCTCCTCGCGACCCAGCACCGCCACACCACCGCAGCCCTGCAGCCCGGCAGCGAGTGTGCGGGAAGAACCGAGGTCGTTGCGCGCGCCGGCGCGACGCGGCATGCGACTGCGGGAGCACTGGTCGAGGCCATGAGGACTCGGCGATTGCCGTCGTGTTGCCTGTGTTCACTTCGCCTTCGCTTCGGTCGTGAAAAAAAAAGGGAAGAAGCGAGGAAGCAATTCTAGTCTTCTAGTGAGAGAAGCGCTAGTCTGTTCGAGTGGTGGGGAAGAGAGAAGGCGCGCGACGATTGCGCTGGCCTGCTCGAGGACTCGGTGTCTGCTTGAGGGCCCCACTGTGCTGTCAATTGGGCCCAGTTAGCACTGGGCGATCGTGTCATTTCGCTAGTTGTCTATGCTAATCAGAATGGTAGTGCTCACGGCAATTGTCTGTGTTTGTCAGCAGTATAGGATCGCAATTCTGACAACCTCGATTTTTCGCTCGTCCTATATATATGTTAAAAAAATCTGAGAATTTAACACCTCTGGGCCAAAATTCATCGAATAGACGAATAATACGTCAGATGTCCAGAACGATGTGTTCTTCGCAACCGGCACCAAAATCTCGTCAACTGCAGCAGCTATACAATTCTAGACCGAGACAAGAAACGCGAGGCATGCCTGCCGCGGCAATCTGCTGCGGACGGTCGCCGGGCCGGCGGCTAGCCGGCTACATCAAGTAACCTTCGACGCTGCCGTCGTCCGAGGGGCGACCGTGCTCGCTCATGCTCCCCCTCAGCCTGTAGAAGCTGTGCCTCCCCTTGGTGCGCAGGGGGCCGGACCAGTCGTACATCGCCAAGGACTCGATCTTGTCCAGCACCGCGTTCGACGCCGACCGTGGCCTCCGCTCGTCGGCGCCGGCAGGGTCCGAGCCGTATCCCAGGGGGAGCGCAGGGCCCGGGGTGGCCGGTGGGTCGTCGTTCCACGAGCTCCTGCTGACGTCGTTCCACGGGGACTCCTCGGTCGCGCCACCCGCGAACGAGCCGCTGCAGGCCTCGTCACCGCCCCCCGCCAAGTACAGCTTATAAGGTGCTAATGGCCAAAATAAGCTAAAATCAACAGTCAAAGACTACGCTTTTCAGCAGCTTATTCTGACCAGCTGGATCAGACCAGCTTATTTAGACCACCGCTTTTACTCTGTTTGTGCTGGGAAGCGCCAATCAGGGTCACTGTGGATCAGCTTCAGCGCCTGCACGACCTCGCCCATGAACGGCCGGTGCGACGCCTCAACGTGCACGCACATGGACGCGATGGCCGCCGCCTTGGCCAGCTTCTCGAAGTCGTAACCGGCCGGGAGCGACGGGTCCACCAGCCGCTGCAGTCCTTCCCGGGTGGTGAGGAGCGGGCGCGCCCAGGTGACCAGGTTCTCGGACCCCGGTGGCTGTGTCATGTCCACGGGTTTTCGGCCTGACAGCAGCTCGAGGAGCACCACACCGTAGCTGTAGACGTCGCTCTTGACAAGCAGATGCCCTGTCATCGCATACTCTGGGGCAACGTACCTGCAGAGCATGGAGAAAAATGAATCAAATTATCCATAATATAGCACTACATTAATTGTTTAAATTGTTCAAGCAATCTATATCAAGAGTAATTACGCTCGCCATCATCAAAAGGGCATACAAGAGTTGTATGATGGCACTTGTTGATTAACACTAGTAGAGGTCTTACCCGAAAGTCCCCATGACCTGAGTAGAAATATGATCCATCCCGTCTGATGCTTCCTTTGCCAGCCCAAAATCAGCAACCTTGGGTGTGAAATCGTTTTCAATAGAACATTGCTAGCCTTGAAATCCCGGTGAATGACATGAGGGTTGGCATCCTCATGCAGATAGGCTAGTCCCTTGCTGCGCCGAGGGCTATTTTCATTCTAGTGTCAAAATCAATCGAGCCATATATTTTATCTGAACCTGGAATATCAAAATAGAAGTGCAGGAATAAATGATTATTACATGCCTACAAAAAAACAGTTATGTTCAAGTTTCTTAAATTGTGTAAGTACTGTTAAGATGCTATGAAAATTAGCATGCTCAAATACCATGTAGATGAGATTCAACACTTCCGTTTGGAACAAGCTCAAATACCAAGCACCTCGTGCTCCGTTCAATGCATATACCAATCAGCTTGACAAGATTGCGGTGATGTAAACGACTTAGCATCTCAACCTCTGCAATGAACTCGCGATCTCTGTTGTGATGTTTCCTTGTGAGCAATTTGACAGCAACCTCAACACCATCTTCAATTACACAGCGATAAACACGTCCATAACCCCCTTCACCTATTATTTTGCTGAAGCTGAAGTTTTCTGTGGCCTTCTCAAGCTCAGTTATTGTAAATGTCTTTACGGTGGATGGGCAGGTTCCTATTGTTGAAGCAAATGATGCTGCCGAGCTGCTTGTACCAGAGAACGATAACCTCATAGCTGAAACAGAAAAATAAATTCTATTACAAAAATTAAGGGGAGATTATATTCCATTAGGGTGTTCTATGCTTCTTTATGCATTGTTGTTCATGAATTAAATCAAGATCATAAGTAGTGCCCTTAGTGTTCAAGTCAGTGCTCTGTGCCTGCTGGTCTTTTGATGTGTAATTTTTTTTTTAGATAATGGATAAACATCCGGCTTCATCTACACAGGGTAGAATCATACCACTTATTACAAACTACTTGATGTGTAAATAGTAACAAGATCATTGTATATCACGACATACTTCGATACATGACAAACCAAAGTATTGATAGTGCCTCCATTGGACCAGATAGAGGAACAGAAATGAAGCAACAAGAAATTTAAAAACCAAAGTCAAGAACCATCAAGGACCAGGTGAGTTCCTGGCAACGGGAGGCAGGAACACAGGAGTGTGTATCACCTGACTCATATTCTAATTCAGGGTACAGGAGTAGAAAGTACCCCTGTCTAACAAGGTCAAGGGATACCATATAATTGCATCTTAATCAATCCAAATGCAAATGACTATAGTGCAATATACCAGAAGTATAGTATAATGTGCCAATTGTCACGAAAATTACCTCCTTTTCTAGTGATGGAAGAACTTGAAATCGGGCCCGTAGCATGAGAATGTTTTAGTCCATTGAATCTCCAAACGATGCCAATGGCCAAGCACGTCAAAACAAAAACCACAGCTGACAGAGCAATTATGGCAACCATTTTAGAGTTAATCTTGTGATGGCTTCTATTGTGTATATTTGCACTAAAAGGGTCCTCGTTACTGCTTACTGGACCCAAGGATCCAGGAATAGGTACTAAAGAAGGAAGGCCTGCGATATGTGTATGGTTAGATAAAGAAAAGAACAAGGATTAGATAAACAAAACAACAAAAATCACTACAGAAGGCTAGTGAAGTGAATACATCAACATCTATTCACCTGGATAATGAACATATGTAGCAACATAGTCACCAAAAACGGATGAGTTTATTGGAACCTTCTTTTGCAAAAATCTGTTGCTAATCAGTAAGGCTGAAGTCCTATCAAATTTCTGGCCTAATGGCACCAAATTGATGGTTACTGTTGTTTTTTCAGGATCTTGAAGACTACTCCCAGCACCCATTATCCGAACTTGACTCTGTTTCAGGAATGTACCTGCTGCAACCTCAATTTCTAACTCATCAATTCTGGGAAATAATTGATACGGTGCCACGCCAAGATCAAGCTGAATTTGCATAGGATATACACAACCACAGGGTGAACCAATTGGAGTCGACGTAAGTGGAGCAGAACAAGTTGTTCTGCTGCAATCTGTCAAAATTCAGGCATGAAAAGGTCTTAGTATTGTTGATTTCTTCATACTAACAATAAGATTTGTCATTTCTATTGGACAGTTGAGAAAGTAAACAAACCTTGTCTTTCTGGCGAAAACGATGAAGGTGGTGGGGAAGCATGATGCCTTCTTCTGTGATGCCTATGCACTGGGTGAGCAATAATGGGGCCTGAGTATCAAAAGGAACAATGATTTGTATGAAGAATGCTAAATAGAACAAATAGCTAAAGTGGAAAGGTACACATTGAAAAATGTATTTTCGGTCATGGTGAGAAACTGAGAATTATATCTGCTTGCTACACCTATACTATTCATGTGTACAAATCTCAAGGGTTTTTGTACTTACCTTGAGGTTGAGGAGAAGGGGCTGGGCCAGGGGCTAGGGCAGGAAAGCGATGCTGATGGGTTCTACTCCAGAATCCGAATAAGTATGATGCAAGACATGTAGTTGTAGAGCTTGATGTTCCGAGTTGCACTGCTTTGGATATTCAAACAAGAAACAATGCATACAAGCATCAGAACTCAGAAATAAAGAGCGAGCGCTACATTGACGAAAATGTCTTTAATGCACTGAATATTGTTGGGTTTCGTTCTCTGCATTTGGAACTGTACAGTCTGTATCCAGTCAGGCAACGCAGAGTTTGATGACAATTGACAGCTCTAGCAAGAAAAAGACAGCACAAAATGAGGAGCCCAAAACCCTCACCAAGCACTTGAACGAACTGCCAAAGCCTAAAAATTTCGAGCTCGATATGAGACAGAAAATGCTACCATCATGGCATCATAGCTCCTGTCGTATCTACCGCACGCTGTTTTAACAACCCAGCAACTCCTACTCGGCCACTCAGGCACGCGGAAAAGCATGCCAGGGATCACCGCGCGCCAAAGCCGAAAAAAATCGAAGTGCAGATTTTTCAGAAGGAATTCCAACTTCCACATGCCAAAGCCTGAGGCATGATTCAGATGCGCTCGGACGAATCACGAGAGCAACAGTTCCATGGAGGAAAAGGCGAAACCTCAAACCATCTTCTGCCCCCACACACGACCAGTGGAACTTGCCACGCACGCCATGCCCGCCGCTCCTCCCCGGCGATCCCACCGCAAGAACGCAATCCGCGCTAGAATTCTCCCCGGCATTGCAACCCGAATGCGAGAAAACGCGAAGCACGGGGAGGAAACGAGGAAAAATCTCAAGGACGCACCGCAGAGCACGAGGAGGAGTAGCGCCGCTTCCCGCGGCGGCATCTCGGGACGTCGCGGCCGCCGGCGTCGCTGGTGGGAGGGCCCGGCTCAACCGCTCAAGGCGCCGCCGCCATGTGGACCCCTGGCGGGGGATCCAAGTCCGCCTCCTTCCTTGCGCTCTGCTTCCCGCTGCGCTGCTGCTCTTTCTTTCAGCCTGTTCGCTTGTTGGTTTCAACCTACCCCGAATTAAATCGTAATAATTAACGTTGTTTTTTCTCTCATAAAATCAAGATCACCAGGTCCAAATCAAGACCAAAGACCGACCAGCGAACAGGCCCTTTCTTTTTTCCCTTCTCCAGACTGCAGAGTCCTTTTTGGTTCTTCGCATTGAAGTGAGGCGCTGGTCCCGAAGGAGCATTAATTGGCGGGTGGGGGATACACCGAGACGAGCGAGGAGGCCTCTGAAGGTTTTCGTTTTCCTTCCAAGCGTGTCTTGTTTTTTAATATTTTTTTTCTGCCCAGGGTGCAGACCGGTCAGTGGTTTCTTCTATTCTCTCAAGCTTCTGAACTCTTTTGGTACTTTTTATGTTTTGAAACATTGTTTGTCCTACTTTTGGAATTATCTTATGTGATTTACTAGTACGCTCTTCGCCGGAAAATCGAATTCTAGGTAAATTTGTTAGGTTTTGAATCATATTCTCATAAACCTCTGTCTTTTAGTGAAAAAAAAGGTAAAGCCCGTATCATAAATAAACAGATTACATTTACTAGAATCCAAGTACTGACTAGGCAACAAATGCCTTCTATGTTCCAAGTCTGCCATTTTTTCCAGAAACAATATGACAATTCCAAATATAGTGTTATATTACTATATAGATATTCTAATTTAGTAGTACTACTCCGTTCCGAAAAAGAAAATTTGCTGTTATATGTTTCAACTAAATCAAACTTTTATAAGTTTGACTAAATTTATAAAAAATAGTATCCATAATTATATCTCCAAATAGATTTACAAATGTTTTAATTTTTTTATGTAGTAAATTTTAGTTAAATTTAAAACTAGTTGATTTCCATGATTAATCCAACGGGAGGGAGTAGTCTACCTGTCTACTATAGCTTAGGTCATGGCGTTGCTTGAGCTAGTGTGGGCCTAGAGCAAACCAACAATTTTCACGGGAGGCTAGCTGCCCGTGCGGCCGTGCGGGACTGGCCTGGCCTTTGATGCCAGCCAGCCAACGCCGCGCTAGACTTGAGAATAGTGAACTTAAAGGAAGAGCATAAAGGCCTAGGCCCACCTCATCCAGTCCAAGTCCGCATAAGGTCTGGTTAGGGCGTAAGATTTTGGATATCACATTAAATGTCACGTGGGATGTCGCATGAGGTGTTTAGATACTAATAAAAAATAAATTATAGAATCCATCAGTAAACCACGAGATGAATTTATTAAGACTAATTAATTCATCATTAGCACATGTGTGTACTGTAGCACTTTATTGTCAAATTATGGACTAATTATGCTTAAAAGATTTATCTCACTTTATTGTCAAATCATGGACTAATTATGCTTAAAAAATTTATCTCACAAAGTAGTCGTAATCTGTACAATTAGTTATTTTTTAGTCTATATTTAATACTCCATACATATGTCCAAACATTCGATGGAATATGGTGTAAACTTTTGAAGAGGAACTAAACAAGGCCTAAGAACATAGAGCTCACGAACTTTTAGTTGCACCAAAATGTAAGTAATAACAATGCCTGGCGTCGAAAAGAAAGCATAAGATACGCGTGTTCATGATAGTTTTTTTTTTGTCATTTAGGAAGACAACGTAGTGGTACATCATTGCAAAAGAGTTTGTCTTCGACCTTGTGATAGGGTGCGTTCGGCTGGTCTGAAAATTTCAGACCAGCCGGCTGCTCCGGCTGCTTCTCTTCACATGCTACAGTACAACTTTCAGCCGCTATAGTATTTCTCTCTCACATAATCAGTCGCTACAGTGTTTTGATTTCTTTTTTCAGACAAGTGAACAGGGCCATAATTTTTTTAGAAAGACGGTAAAAGCTTTCCCGTATTTTTATTAGATGAATAAAAAAATAAAACACATTATTTACAGACAACTAGGAGCAGTATGAAAACTCCCAACTACTGAAGACGAGAGAAAAAACCAAACTACTACGGCGCACATGCCGCCAAACTAAGCCATGAAAACGATTTAAGCAAGTAAACAGAAGAGAGCTCCAACTCTTTAAGAACCGAAAACCAAGCAAAAGAAAACTACTCTCCACCACCAACGATGGGTCTTGTTGCCGACTGGAATTGTTGGATGACTTTGTGATATACTCCCTCCATTCCAAATGTAAGTCATTCCAAAAATCTTGAGAAATCAAACTTTTTCAAGTTTGACTAAAATTATAGAGAAACACAAAGATTGATGACATCAAATAGGTATAATATGAAAATATAACTAATGAAGAATCTAATGATACTTACTTGGTATGATAAATATTATTATTTTGTTATATAAATTTGGTCAAACTTGAAAAACTTTGACTCTCCAAGATTTTTGGAATGACTTACAATTTGGGATGGAGGGAGTACTTGCACTCAAAGAACTTGCTCCCTCTCGTTGGCATAGGTATAGAGCCTAATGACCCAACAAAATCGTGATGATCACCATGTCCAAGAACACGGTGGACCTGCATGCTTGGAGGTGAGAATCCCCAATTGCTGTACGGTACGACCACCATGCTGTCGTCCGTGCATGCAAGTGGTAGATTGCGACAGCAGTATGCATGCTGGCTAACACATTGATGCATACTCCTATGGTCCAGAAGCCTACATACATGAAGAATTGAAGATCGTATTCGTATGCTTCTCCCGTCGTCGTCGTCGCCGCTCCTGAAATGAAAGAAAGAAACCGTAAAAAACTCGAATATAATGTATCCTGGTGGGACGTCGATGGCCCGGCCGGTTAGTTAGCTAGCTAGCCAATGCAAGTCAACCTTACAAGACAGGCTTCCATGTCTGCTCCTTTTTTGCTTGCTTGTTTGGTTCTATACGCCGCCGTCGGTAGAATAAACTAAACGCGAGTGGGGTGAATTACGACTGCCGTGTGCACTGGTGACTGGTCAGGAGTTACATGATATATTCTTGGCTTGCGCCGGTGACAAAACTCGATGGCGCCTATGGAGTCGTCGGGTCGGGCGGTTGTGAGACGGGGAAAAAGGGTACGCGGTTTGCGCAGTAGTGCTCTGCTCTACCACCATGCATGTTGCCGATGGGTGCGATCGATCTGAGTTGACGCGTTTCACGTGCGATTGTTTAGTCCCGGCCCGTTCGGGACGCAACAGTCCTCACACCATAGCGTAAATTCCATTGCACTCATCTGTCATCTCAGAAGGAAAATCCCATTGCACTCCTGGAAAACACGCTTCCAAAGGGCAAAGGGGTGACATGATGCAATGAGAGAAACTTGTGAACAAAGACGAACCAACACCTAACTTCTTCATTTTGACGATGATTTCCCTAGCTAGTCTTGTTAGGGAGCTCACTCTCTGCTGTTTCTTAGCTCCGGTTCCTTAATTCAATGATAGACTGATTGATTATGGTGGAGGTTGCAGGGTGAAAATGATTTTGAAGTAATTCTGGTAGAGTGTGGGTTTTTAGCTCGTTATGTAAATAGAAAAGTTTTTTGTGTTAGATTTCACCAAAATTTGTGAATTCTTCTAAGCCCGTGTTTAGTTGCAAAAAACTTCCTAAAAGTCTTCTGATCACCTCTATCACGTGAATCTTGCGATACGTAATGGAGTATTAAATGTAGACGAAAAAAAACTAATTGCACAGTTTGGTTGGAAATCGCAGAGGACAGACGTTTTGAGCCTAATTAATCCATGATTAAACACTAATTGTCAAATAAAAATGAAAGTCTTCAGATGGCCAAATTCCAACTTTTCCTCCAACTAAACACGCCCTAAGAAGCACCGCCAAATTGCCCCTCAGGATCAGGATCAGCCCATTAGGAACCTGAGCTCTGAAACTTTTGTTATGCACGTACATACTGCTCCATGAAAAACTACTCCCTCCCAGTCAGTTAGCAGCCATCGGCCGGCTGGGTCCAATGCATCGGTCTTTTTTCGGAAATCATAAACACTATCGCCAAGGTGGATGAAACATTTTGGCATTATAGGCATTAACCAACCCCCGAGAGTACTTCATCCGCAACCACAGTTATAAAAAAAATTATAAAAAAAACCGCGACCACCGAACCCGTCACGGCACGGTAGGTCTTCACTTTTTGATAACCTGCTTGATTAGGCCGTTGCCGTCGAGATGCATGCTTATGATGGTCTTAGGCAGTAACGCGATGTCATATGTGTGAGGCATTTATGCTCCTACCATTGTGCAACTTACCACAACAAATATCAACCGTTAAGAAGACATAACTCTCGTATGGAGGACTAGCTAGTGATATGTCTTTTTTGAGCATTAGGGCACCCACAATGTGATACCAACTTGGGAGTATATCTATCACTAGTCTCTCATCATACTATCACACGGAAGACATAACTCATAAGCATTGCAGGAACGAGCCATAGCTCGGACAGTCGGACAACAAAGTGCTCTGGTGGAGGCAGCGGCGGGTCGTGAGTTCGAGGCTCGCTGTCTCACCTCTCCCACGCACGAATGGACTACAGCTGCAATATCTCTCAACCGTGTTCTAGTACATCTAGATATAGGTAGATATTACAACTTGTATTCAAACATTGAGGCAATAAAAAAATATAAGCAATACTCTTTTCATTTCAAAATAAATGCATTCGTACTTATGTACCGAGATAACCAAGTATCTAGGTCATACCTAAAAATGTGCTTATTTTATGATAGTAGGAGTAGATAGTATTTGTACACAAAATTTTTCGTTTATGTGCCGAGGACACACGTAGCAAGCGAAAAGGTCCGCTCGATGAAGCAGATCCGTCTAGCTTCCTTCGCAAGGGTGGTAGATTCTGCGTAATCCTTCCAAGACGTGCCAGTCAATTTGACCCTGCAATTGACAAAGAGA